TTCACTCATTTCCAGAAGAGGGCCTTGCTGGTCACGCACAGCAGCTGTTCCATTTTCATTTGCCTGCTGAACTTCCGGAGAGCTTCTGTGGCGACGCCACCAAGTCACAGTCCCACCAACGGCACACAGAGACTGCCTTCCTCGAACCCCTCTGCACAGCTGTCACTTCCTGTCTGAGGCAGAACAGCCTTCCTAACAGCGCTGAGCTGAGGTCTTGCTGGGGCTTGGATTTGCACCTCCTGCACCAGTGACGGTCAGAACCTTCTCATATGCCTGTTGTTTGATGCTACTGGAAATGGGACTTTCTTGATTTCATTTTAGAAAAGTCTTACACAAATGAAGTATAAAGAAAGTCAGTTTCGTATACTGTACACTGTATACTCAGTAGTGTAAGGTATTTGAAATTGTACACTGGTTTTGTATCCTGCAACTTTATAAATTCATTTGTTCTACAGTTTTTTTGGTGGCATCTTTAGGGTTTTCGACGTGCAGGACTGCACACCTGCAAGGACAGGTGCTTTCCCCTTCCTTTCCTCTCTGGATGCCCAGTCTCTCCTCATCTTGTCTGGCTCTCTTGTTAGTCCTGCTGCTGCTATGTTAAGCAGCGATGGCAGGCATGAGGCTGTCTACCTTATGCGAAATCTTAAAGGCAAAGTTTTCAGTTCCTCCTACTAATTCTGATGTTAGCTGTTGTTTTCTTTTGTAAAAATGTCCTTAACCATTCTGAGAACGTATCCATCTATCTCTCAATTTTCAAGAATTTTCGTCAAGAAAAGATGTCACAGCCAGGTGTGGCGGCATATGCTGTAATCCCAGCAGGTGGCAGGTAGAAACAAGGAACAGCAAGTTTCAAACCCAGTGTAGTCAATTTAGTTGAGACCCTGTTTCAAAATAAGAAAGGGCCAGGGATGCAGCTCAGTGAGAAGGCCCTGGGCTCAGTCCCCAGAAGTGACCTAACAAGGAAAAGATGGTGAACTCTGCTGGAAACCGCCCCAGCACCACCAGCACTCTGTGTAGTGCACACTACACAGGGTAGTGCACACGTCAGGGTAGCGCACCCGTCAGCAGCACCTCCAGGGACCCACCGCCCGCGCTGCTGCACGTGTCTGATGGATTTTACTGAGCATTTCACAGCTGTGTTCATCCGAGTCAGTGGCCTGAAGTTTTCTTGTGGTGTCTTTGCGACCTATCAGGATTACCCTAGCCTCGTAAAATGCGCTAAGAAGCATCCCCTCTAGTTTGCTCTTCGGAAGAGTTTACAAAGGGTCAGTCCTCAGAATGTCTGGTGGAATTCAGCAGTCTGGTCCTGGGAGGTCCTCTGTGGGGAGGCTTCACTGTGCTACTGCAGCCTCTTTTTATGGGTCTGTTCAGGAGTTCTAGCCCTCCCTGCCTCGATCTCGGTAGAGGATGTTTCTAGCAACTCACCCACTTCCTCTCGGCTCTCTCATTTGCTGGAACACAACTGCTTACAGTAGTCCTTACGATCCCTATTATTTCTGCTACAAGCAATGAAATCCTTCTACTTTCATTTCTGCTTTTATTTGACTCTTCTTTTTTTATTTTTAAATTTTATGTAATTTATTTATTCTCTTTAGGCATGAAATAATGGTGGAAATGGTTATAAAACACTGGTGTCCACAACTCTTCTTTTTTAATCTGGTTAAGACTTTGTTTTATTTTGTTCCAAGAAAAACCAATTCTTCAGTCTGCTGATTTAGAGATTTTTTAATTCGTTTATTTTTGCACTTCATTACTTCCTTCTTCCCAGTAACTGAGATTTTGTTCTTTCTCTAGTGTCTACCATTAGGCTGCTTGCGATCTTTCCTCTTTAGCGAAGCAATGTGTAGCTATGAACTTCCCTCTCAGTACTGCTTCGGCTGCACCTCATTGGCTTGGCATGTTTCCACTCTCCTTTGTCTCCAGGTATTTTTTAGTTTCCCTTTTGCCCTTCTTGTTTGACCCACTGGTTGCTCGGGTCCGTTTAATTTTACTGATTTATACATTTACTATCTTCCTCTTGTTGCTGATTTCTGGTTTCATACCATCCTGCTTATATAAGATGCTTGATATGATTTCAATCTTCTCAAATTAGTTGACTGTTTTTTTATCATAACACATTATTTGATTTGATGAGAATGTTCCATGCTATTTGAAAACAATAGGTATTAGGCTGCCGCTAAATGGAACACGCGTCTGTTAGGTCTGTTTTGACCCGGAAGTCCAGTGTTCCCTTACTGCTTTCCTGTCTGGACGATCTACTGATCGCTGAAAGTGGGAGACTGAAATCCTCTACTATCTGGTACTGGCTATTTCTCCCGTCAGCTCTGTTAACAGTTACTTTATATATCTAGGTAACTGGCCAGGGAGATAGCTTGGTGATCTAAGTACCCGCCTGGCAAGCCTAAGGACCCAGGTTTGATCCCTGGTACCACACGCTGGGCCAGCCCCATTATGACTCGAAGCTGTCTGAGCTGTGTAGTGAGACTCCATACCAGATAAATAAATAGATTTATATATTTAGGTACACAGATGTTGTATATGTATGTAATTGTTACAGCCTGTTGAGTCTGTATATATGACAATAAACTTTATAAGGTCTTATAAGAAATGAATACGATGTTAGAAAAATAAAAGGAAGGTGGAGGGGTGGGGAAAAGCTGGAATGTGTTAGTACATGTACCATTCCCTACAGTGAATGGTAGTATTATGTACTGCAAACATAATAAAAAAGTCCTTATACTCTCTTGATTAACTAGCACCACGAGACCGTTCTTAATGTCCAGTTCTAATACACGGTCTCTATAACCAAGGCTGAGCTACCAAGTTATCCCTCCTTTTATTTCTAGGACCCCTGTTTGCAATATAGTTCAGGAATTAAACTTCGTTTCTAAACCAGCAAGCCAGTGGGGTCCTAGGAGCTAAAGACGCCTGCTCCCAGTGTCTGTGTTCAGAATGAAACCCAGAGGCACCGGCTGCCGGCACACGAGGCCCCCTAGTGCTCGAGACGCAGCGTTTCCGCAGTCGGCACGCAAGGACACGGCAGGCCCTCCGACCAACCATCGGATCACCTGCAGTACCACCTGTAACCCACTTTTTTAAAAAATTCCTTTGTGGCTATCAAAAATAGAGATGATATAGAAAAGACCTGCTCTAATTCACCTTGAATTACTCTGAGACAACTGTCAAAAGACCAAAAAAAAAAGAAAAAAGGCCTAGAAAAATCCCAAGTTATATTTAATACTATTATTTTTCAAAGTAATGATATTATTACATTTTACTTTCTTATTCCTTCGTCTAAACTGTTAGTACCTCACTATATAACACTCAAATATTCAAAGTTTTACACAACAAAATAGTATGATTAGGCCTTTTATAGGGAGAGCTTATCATGCAATTTTTAAAATAAAGTTTGAAGGTCAGCACGTATTATTTTCCTCAATAGCTTATCTATCTTTCGAAATTTCACTGCACTTCATCTACTCATTATAACCGCCATCATATTTATTATAATGACATTCTTCAATGGCATTTTTTTTCTTATCACTGTGTCTTCAACCAAAGAGACACCTCTACTGAGAACTGTGCTGCAAATGACTTACTGGGAACAAAATACCCAAGTGTGCCAACAGGGTAGGAACAGGGTACCTTTCTCTTATGCACCTGGGGGCCTATCCCAGGACCGCTGCCAACCCCTCCCTACCCTCACTTTCAATGTTCTGAGCAGAGCCACAACCACAAGACTGCTTTCCTCTGAGTAACACTGGGGAGAAACATTTCATTCTCTTCCATTTCATCCTTCTTATCTATCTGATGGGCTGACGGAAAGGGGCCCTAAGACCCTAACTCACGCTTCTCTTTGGAGATTCTGGCCACTGGTGAGTCTCCCTGCACCAGTGCAGTTACTCGGCCTGCAGTGAGTGAGGATCACAGGGTATCTGCCAGATGTGGTGGCACCCATTTGCAATCCCAGCTGCTAGAGAGGTAGAGGCAGCATGCTGCGAGGTCGAGGCCCGCCTGGCTAAGACCTGCCTCGATATAAAGATGGCTGTGGGCCCAGTGGTACAGCACCTGCCTTCACATTGTAAGGCCCTCTACCAACCACCAACCCCTAAAGTATACTGAGTTTGAAGGAGGAGTCGCAGATACAATTTCTTGCCGTACTTAGGAGTGAGCCCAGGCTCCCTTGGCACGCTAAGGCAAGTGCTCTACCACTGAGCTAGACACCTGTCCAAGTACAACACACTATATTAAAGTATACCACAAATCTATATAAAATCCATAAAAAATATGCCAGGATATCTGAATTAAGGATTACATTTGGCTTAGCTAATAAATTATCTAATTTTTTCCCCTTTGTCCTTATTTTCTTTTTTAATATGGTATCTAAAAGAAAAAAATGAAAGCACAACTAACATTTAGTATTTAGCTGATGCTCAGATTCATTTACTGCTGATAACAGTCTGAGAATACAAGTTTGCATTAAAATAATCCATTACAGCTTATAAGTTTTCTGTCACTATGCATCAGGAATTACAATGACTACAACTTCACAATCTTGGTCTGTGTTTCTGAAGGGCAAACATCTCATTGGTGAATTCCAAGTACAACCATAACCTTATATTCTTCGATGGTATCGCAGGACACGTGCCTTAGCAGACTCCTGGCTGGCTCTGCATTTAGGAGGGCGAGCAGAGATCATGGAAAGGCCCATGTTCAAGCCTTTACCTGGGGCTGTGTGGCCAGATTTGAGTATCTGAGATCCTCAGTTTTCTTAATATGAAGTTAGAGACGAGAACCTCACCTTACAGTTACAAACGCCCAACAGAAAAGAACATGTGAGAACCACAATACACAGCAAGTGTGTAGGAAATCATATACTGGTACAATTGGTTCCAACGGCCATTGTAAAACAGATGAGGGTCACCATGGATTCACGGTCCTGCTGCAACAATATCTGTAGTAAAACTCTGGGTGGATAATTCAGTTTCAAATCAACTTACCCAGACAGGAGTACAAACCCTGACTTATCCAAGCTAAGATGGCGAGAGTTATAAGGTCACCAAAGCTGGCGGCAATGGGTGTAGCAACATTATCAGGATTTATGCCGGTCTTCTTTGAACCAACAATAACACCAACCATTATTATTCCTAGAAGAAAGAATGTGCATTACTTTGATGTTACAATTCCAAGAAAATCAACACCTCAAATACCAAAACATACGGCACAGAGGAATAGTGTATCAGCTCTGGTTAGACTGCTTAGATATGCTGATTACACCAACAAAAACTTTTATTACTCTAATGCTTTGCAAAACACTTTCAAGCAAACTCCAAAATCATAGAGGATCTGAGACGCTCAATGTTGCTCAATGTTGCGCCTCAGGTACGGTGGTCCCTTACTTATCACAGAAGTTACGTTCCAGACACCCCCGCGATAACGGCAAATCAGCCAAGTAGTGATGTTCACTTTATTTTAGTATTTATATTTATCTCAAGGCTTTATAAAGCCTTCCCACACCCTTATAAACCTTTCTCACATTTTTAAAAACACTTCTACTGTTCTTAACCATTTTCTAAACTCGTAAACCTACATAATTTTAACAACATACATATACTACACAGTACTGCAAAACCCCATGATATAGTGAAAAATCTGCTATAAATAATTTAGATTAATATTTTTTGAAAATATGCAAAACAGAGAGTTTGCAAAAGTCAAACTATAAAATAGTGAGGGACTACTGTACTGAATGCCACTGCAAAATTATATGAAAGCTAAATTTCCAATTTGGTAATTTCCATGTCTTAGATTAATATATTTATGTGTATCAAGTCTAAAGATTTAAATTTTAACCTTCAAATAAAGTATGAAAATATCAAAGAAAGGTGAGTCATATTTATATGCATAGCCACTTGGAAGAAAACCAACAAAAACAGACTTATTCACACATGGTTGTCAGAAATGCTTGCTTCATTTTATTATTAAGTATTGAAGGGTTAAAAAGAAGGAATTCAATATTGAGAGCAGTAGAGTCCAGAACACAAGAAATAGTCTTTGTAAAAGTTATGGCTTTTACTGCTAATTTATTTGGCTTTTGCCACAATCCAAGGAGCACTGAGCTCCATTTGCAGCACCCCCCTTCCCCTTTTTGGATTATGTCTTGCTAAATGGGCCAGCCCTGCCTCAAGTCTGGCTTTCCAGCCTCGACTTCCCAAGCAGCAGGGATTGCAGACCTGCGCCACGCCCCACCCAGCTAGCAGATGTGCTTTAAACCCCAAGTTGCTGCCTATAAACCTGAAACAAAACAGCGAGATGAACAAGTGACTCTGCAGCGGCACTTTGAAAGCCTTTTTTTCTAGAATCATATTAAGGGGAGAAATATAATGTTACGTCCATATCCAATTATATAGACCTGGCTCCTGCCAACACATCCATTAAGAAGATGTGGTATGGAGACAACTGGAGATGTTTAGGTGACTTATGTACAAGCTGCAAGTCAACAAGAAACCTAAATCTGGCTATGGAAAAAATGAACACAGCCTTGCCATAAATTTAGAATAAAAATGACCATATATGCTTTTGATTCCGGCATATTGAAGTTACGGACACTCTACAGTTTAGGAGAATAGGGTTTAAATCTGCCCCAAGGTTACACAGTTTGAGATTCTAGACAGTGTTTTTTTTACTGTATCTCATTAAGCCAAATGCAAAACCCAGAATGTTGTCTCCCTTCACTAGTGCTTGTATCTTATACTCTGGAGCATTTTGTAATTACTGGGCTTTCCTTTTACATAGTATTAAACAAAAAAAGAAAAAAAAACCCCACTCAACAGCAGAATAGTGATGTCATGTGATGGTCCAACGAGCTGTGGCTGCGCTGATGACAGAAAGGCTTCCCCCAGCTGGCACACCTACGGGCACTGCGCACGCAGCGCGGCTGGGCGGAGAGCATGGGGGACCAGAGCGCGCGGGTTTTCACTTGGGTTCTGTGGTCGACAGGCTGAGGAGGACAAACAGACGGCCCCCCTGTCCGAGTGAGTGTTCTCCTCAGCTGCACATATGTTAGAACAGTTAGTCAGGTCATCCTCAAGCCAGAACACACATTATTCCAAGCAAAAAGCCTTAAACAAAAGTACAGTATCTTAAATATTGGAATTTTTGTTGCTTTTGAGATGAGGTCTCACTATGTGGGTCAGGCGAGCCTTGGCGAAGTCCCTGTGTACCCAGGATGGCCTCAACCTTGTACGAACCCTTCTGCGTCAGCCTCCAGAGGGCTGGGATTACAGGCAGCACTAGCACACCTAGCAAAAGAAAATCTGGATTTTTTTAAATAAATTTTTTCATAGTTTTGAAAATCCTAGGCATTTCAACACTTGCTAGACTGAGACTCCCTGTGATCCTCCTGCCTCAACCTCCTGAGTGCACTGCCATGCCTCACTTAGACTGAAAACTTTTAAAACACTTTCTAAATGAAATCATATCTAAAAAACAAATAAAACTTTAAAAACAGATGAAACCAAATCACAAAGAAAGCATAAGTGGCCTACAAACAAGGTATTTATACTATAACAATTTTTTAAATTTTACCAGAAATTCAATTTTCCAATAGTTGAACTTATTCTGCTTAGTCAGTGCTAACTTCATTCAACTCTAGTAATTCCATGTAAGGACAAAAAGCTATGCCTGATTACTATTTAAATACTAAAAATACTTGAATATATTTAAAAAGTCACCTTAATTTGGTAAGAATTCTCTCAACTCCCAGAATCTAGCTAAAAAGCAAGCAGCATTGTAAGATAACCTGCCATGGGAATCTTCCTTTCTTTAAAAAAAAAAAAAAAAATTGCTGGTGATAAAGTCAAGAAGACGGCTGTTTTAAAGTAAGAATCAGTCTCTGCTTATGACTCCATCATAAACTAGTCGTCCAGTACAATGCGCCCATCAAAGAACACTAAGGGGTGACTCTGGGCGCTCCCTGCAGCGTCCTACAGCCAGCAGTAAGCTGTCCAGGCACACGGTCATATCGCATCACCCCACAGACAGCAAAGGCATTTTTTCCTGCAAACTGAAACTTAAAAAAAGTTTAACAGAGGGACTGATTTTGAAACTCAGAATTCCCAGAACACTTGTTACTCACTAGATGGGCCAGTAAATTCCTGCATAGATTCCAGAAAGGATTTTTCTCAGTTATCTGACACAGAAACTAATATCTCAGTCATGTTCCCGATCTTACTGGGAGAATGCCCAGCCTCAGAAAGCCAGCTGTAGGCAACACTGGGGATGACCTGCTTCTTTTTAAATCATGGCCAAGTATCATTTAAATAAAGTCAACACCTTGAGAAATAAATGATTTAGAAATGAAAGACTAGTCGACCATGGTGCAGCTTATATTCCCAGTATTGAGGAGGCTGAGGCAGGAAAATTTCTGCCTCAAGCAGGAATTCCTGCAAGTTCTAGGCCAGCCTGGAATATAAAGAGCACCTAAACAAAAACAAACACAAAAAAAATGAAGAAAGAGAAGAAGGAAGGACAGAGGGATGGGTAGGCTACAGAGCAGGCACCTACCCACATACTTACCCTGCAGAAGAGACGCAATGAAGGCCGTCGCCACGCTGCTGGAGCACAGAAGTATGGAATGATTGAGGTAATACTTTCCTTCTGGAATCCAGCCCAATATAACTGCTGCCACAGCTGCTAGAAAACCAACTACTGTCGCCTGAACCTAAATATAAAATCCAACTGAATTAGAAACTTTTAAAACATTTACAATTTTCCCATGTAAACATCACACACAGGAGGGAAAAACAAGCACAGCCCACAGTGACTGAGCCACACAGCTTTCGAAGGAGCCCTGTAGTCTGGGCGTCCCTGAGACAGTGGGCCGGCCCTGGCACTCCAGGTGATCGCTGCAGAGGGCCTGGCCCAGGGTGGGGGCCGCGCTGCTGAGGCTGAAGCCGGGATCTGGTGGCCCAGTCTTTCTGCTCCCCGCTTTATGCCTGGTGGGTTACGGGCCTGACACCCACTGACACAAGGAGCTCCTGTTAGGCTGGGCTTTTTGGTTGCTGCTATTTGTTTTCTGCAGTCCTGGGCGCTGCTCCCAGCTGCTAGGCACAGGCCCTGCTGCTAGGTTCCATCCTGAGACATCTCTTTTCTTTTTGTTTCTGAAGCAGGACCTAGCCAAACTGCCCAGGTCGGCCACAGCGCTCGAGCCTCTGTCTCCCTGGTATCTGGGGCTGCAGGCATGCACCTCTAGGCCAAGCTCCAATAAGAACTTCCTCAGTGTCCACTGTGCACAGTGCACTAAGCTGTACGTGGGGATGCAGCTCTGGTCAGAACAGGCAGCACAGAGCTCCTGGTCACTGGGGAGCAGACATTCAAGCATGACCTCACAGCCAGATGCAGTGCTGCAGGCCAGCACTGCGGGAGGCTGAGGCAGGAGGACCAAAACCTTCAGGTCATACCTACCCTCCACCCCAGGAAGAGGCTCGCATGTGCCCAGTGCAGGCCTCGCCCACAGGCCTCTCCTTCCCGAGCTGAGGTAGGAAGAGCCCCACGGACAGAGTAACCTTTAGCCCCAAGACCACCTCCTCCCCATCTTCTCTTCCTCTTGCTTTTATCTGTTCTAACTGGGCTCCGGTCCTGCGGCCGCCCTGGCTGGCACCTTGGGGTCTTAATGGCCCCACCTGGCTTCCCTGGTCTTCACACAGCCATGGTGAAGTGAGGCAGACAGAGGCAGGCAACCCCAGCCTGCCCTGGCAAGCACTGCACGCAGTGCAGGGGGCAGGGACCACAGAGAAGGGGGAGACTAAGAGTGAGGGAAGGACACAGGCTGAAGTGGGAAGGATGAGAATGAGCCAATGAGCGGTTCACACACAGCTCATCACTTCACACGAGGTTAGGGGATTTAAACCAGGGGTAGCGCATTCCTCTAATTCCAGCACTCCTGGAGGATGAGGCAGGATGACCAAAAATGGAAGGCTGGCTTAGGCAACTTAATGACTTAGTGAGGCCCTGGAAATTTAAAAAAATAAGAATAATGAAAAGCATTGCGGTGTACTTGAGTGCAAGAGTCAGGGTTCAACCCCCCACTCCCAATGTGGGGCAGTGGTGGCAAACCTACAGCTTTGTGCCGCAGTTTGCTATCTGCACTGTTAGAGCCCTAAAAGGTTTGCCATCGTGGTACGTGGTATTTAAAGAACAGAATCAAATGTATTTTTAAACTTGTAATTTTAGTGCTTTCTTGGTTGTTACAAGTTTTAATGGCTGCCTCCACACAGATTCTTACACATGCAGGCTGCACTGGGCCTTCGAAATCCCTAGTACGCTGCTGTGATTTAGAAGAGCCAGAAAGGCTAACAAGGCCATGCAGCTGGCTCGAGACAGCTGACACTGGATCCAGGTTTACTCATCTCCGATCCTACAACCTTAGAAGCCACAGCCCACACTCCAGCCACGCCTCTCTGAGATGAGGTCACACAAGATCATGCCCAGCTGAGCAGATGTTCCAGTCAGTGGGCCTCTCCTCGGCTTAGGCTGGCGGAGGGGTACTGGGTCCGAGCAGCCTTCTGTGGGACCCAGGAGAGGACATACGAGAGGCAGAAGACACACTTAGCTGAGCGGAAAGAGCCTGCGACGCCACATAACCTGTGCTTCCATACCCATTAGGAGTAACTGAGCATACCTGCGTATGCTAACATTAACACACTAATCAAAATAGTTGAACCAAATATGATTGGTTTAAGCAAATAATGTACTCAGAAAGTTAAAGTAGGCGTGGCGTGGTGGCACAATCCTGTATTCCTGTCCACCCTCTGAGAGGCTACAGCAGGAAGATCACTGAGCCGAGGAGTTTGAGATCAGCCTGGCCAACAGAGAAAGAGCTTATCTTAAAAAAAAATTAAGTACAGCAGCTGGGGAGATGGTTCAGTGGAATAAGTGCCTGCCTGGCAAGCCCAGGGGCCTGAGTTCAATCCCTGGTTCCACCAAAAAAAAGTACAAAACTAGCGCCTAAGTAAATAATAAATACTTATTTGTGCAAAACCTGGCTCTGTTAGTTAGGATAGCTGGCTCTATTAGCTAGTCCTTATGTTTTTCCATATTTTACGTGTTATGTATTTTCATGTCTGGAAGAAGCTGCTGAGTTTCTGGAGAAAGAATAACTTTCAGACGTCACTGACTCCATCACTTTTCCAGGGCACTAAATCACTGACTTGATACCTTCTGCAACAATCGAAAGGTAGGCTTCACAGCGGTACATTTGGCTCTGTTCTTACAGTAACACCCACAATGTGCAAACTCAAGATTCACAAACAAACGCATCTCACTCACCTGCTTCAAGGCCAAGTTGCCGATGATGAGGTTCCACTTCTCGATGGGCGAGTCCATCTTCCCCACGTTGACCTGCAAAGGAGGGGATTCTCAGGCACCACTGCACACAACACATGAGGGGTCAGAAGCACAAAGGCATTACTCAGTAAATCTGATGAGCTCCCATCACACTTTCAGTATAATTCACAACTTAATCCAGGCACGGTGGCACACATTTGTAATCCCATCTGTCTGGGAGACTGAGGCAACCTGATCACAAATTCAAGCCCTGGCTGGGCAACTTACTGACTTAGTGAGACTGTTTGAAAACGAAAAATAAAAAAACATCGGGGACGTAGCTCATGCAAAGGTATAAAGGACTTCACTTCAATCCCTGTAGCACGCCCGCCAAACACAAAAGCCAAAACAAAGCAACAGAACCTTGGATTTATTACCAGCCTATCATCTAACACCCAGCTTAGCTGAACTATCTACAAAATGCAGAAAGAATTTTTAAATGTACTATCTTAGAAGAACTAGTAGACGAGCTACCTGCTGACGTCACTGCACACCTAACGTCCTCTCTGTCAGCGTAAGGCCCACATGGCTAGTAACTCAGCAAACCTTCCTTCTAACTTACAGCTATGAAGACTGAAGCATCGGAAGGTCAGGGAATTTGCCAACGTCACAGCTAATAAACGGCAGATCTCGAATTCCACCTTCAGGGAATCTGATTCAAGAGCCGGCTTCAGAATTCCTGGGCTATTTCTCAACATCTTTCATTCCTCTCTTCTTGGCCAACGTTATTGTTTTAGCTTCTATCATGCTTGTTGTACAGAATAATCACATTCCTCGTGGGGAGCTGGCACACGTACTCGACACAGCCAAATCTTTCACCTTCCCTTCCTCTTGAGTTGATTTTAGTACTTTACATCTTTGCAGAAAAGCATCTATTTAATCTGAATTTTAAAATTAGCGTGACTCAGACTTCAAATTCTGACATGAAGTCCTAGATGTATATCATAAATGATAACTATTTTATTTACTTTTATTACTAGTGCCTAGCAATTTTATAAAGCATGCATACATTTTGCTCACATACAGCCTCATGTCCCCTCCCTCTTCCCTTCCTCCTGCAGAACGTCCCTGCTTCTGCTGCCATGTCGTCTTCTGCGGCACCCATAGGTGAGGGAGCACATGTGACCCTCATCTCTCTGGTCTGGCTATTTTGATCAACATGATGATCTCCACAGCCACCCATTTCCTGCAAGGGATTATCTTTAGCCAACTTTTGGGTACAAGGGTTTGATTTAAATAATTATACAACTTTGAGCTGATAGCGTTGATCTCCATGTCATAAAACTAACGCAATTTGAAGAACTGCTGACCAAAAATTCAAGAGAGAAACAAATCAATTATGTGTGCATAATCTGTATCTGAGTCACGATTAAAACTGTTGACGTTCAATTTCAACACATATTTTAACCGTGTACCTCAACTATTAAATGTGTAACGCTCTCTTCAGAAGGGAAGGATGCTCTGTCACTCACACACTCAACTGTCCCAAGCACCAGGTCCTATTCCTCAGCCACCTAAGGCTCAGAAGATGTATGTCCACGCGCGCCACGTTTTCTAGTGTACTCATTTGGAAACAAACAACCACTGGTACAAACCCAATACAGAGCTGGCTGTCAGCTACGCATCCTTTGTTGAGTCACTGAAGATTTTCAAGTATTAAAACAACCTCTAGACAAACAGGCAGAGACAGAGACGCACACAACTGCTGGGGCGGGGGGGTCAACGGCAGGCAGACAAGCGCCGGTCTGCTGGCTTCGTATCGGGGTAAAGTGCCATATCAACATCTCTACCAACGGCGAAAACCTGCTCGCTCCTGTAATCTTACTCTGGACCTTGGCCTCAAGTCCAGAGATACACAAACATTGAGATTCTCAGTAGTTAGTCATGTAGTTGTTATTTGTATATTTCTCTTGGCGACCTGGAAATCGAAGTCACTGATGAAATTCAGGCTTGCTGCACTAGGACCCTGGGGCTTTGCTCAGATGACTGACGAGGAACAAACAGTGTTTAAAGAGGGAACCGGGATCAGGCTGAGAGCTCCAGAAACAGGCCTGAGAGAAATCAGTATTTTTAATAATGCTTAGAAAATGTCTGAAGCTACAGGAGGTAGCTAAGTCAAAGATGCTTCTGTGGAAAAGGGTAAGACAGCAACACTCCAGGGTCACCAAATGTGGAGATGAACTAAGAGCAGACTGAGGCAGGGGACAGCATGCCTGAATGCCACGATGTGGCCATGCCACCGTGCAGGCCACCAGCACAGTCCCTGCTGAGGTCTGGCGCTGCACTGCTCCAAAGCCAGGTCCTGGCAGCATCCCGGTATGCCAGTGACAGGAGCTCCTCTAAACCTGGGCAGGCAAATGTGAAGAGAGGCCACCATTCCAGAGCGCGGTTGGACTCCCAAGGCCCAGGCGTCCCTGCTGCGCCACCCGCAGGCCTTCCTGCCTTGCACCAGAGCAGCCAGCTGCTCCTCTGCATGTCCTGCTCTGGCCTTACACCGTCAACGGCCCCTTCTCCTTCACTAAATTCTTCGTAGCTACGCTAGATGCCATGGCTGTTTTCTGGACCAAACCTCAACTGGCAGTATAATCTTACGTAACTAATCTGTTAATACTATTTAATTAACTATCTAGCACATGAAACACTGTTTGGCATATATTAATGATCCAAAATATTTGAATTAGCTGAGAATGATGGTACACATCTATTACACCAGCACTCAGGAGGCTGAAGCAGGAGGATCACTGTAAGTTTGAGCCAACCCTGGGCTACACAGTGAGTTCAAGGCCCGCCTGGACTACATAGCAAGGCCCGTTCCCGAAAAGCAAAAGAAAATTTTAATTAATAAATCAGAAAGGCAAATTACACACCAATCTCAGAGAATCAGGTATTCTCTGAAAAGAGGTCTGAGGCAACAGAAATCAGTCTTGCCTAGAGTAGAAAAGTGCTAACTGTATTATGCCAGGCAGCCTGCACCTAGGAACAATTTAGAGGCTTTACAGAATGCACTATAGGGCCTGGGGATACAGCTCAGTGGCACAGGACCTGCCTGGCAAATACAAAGTCCTGAGTTTGATTCCCAGTACCAAAACAAACCGTACGGAATGCACTGTTTTTAGGACAGTGGACACCAGTTTTGGCTTTTTATATCTAGTATTCAGAATCAGAAAATACTAGACCTCAGATAACAGAACTTAAAGAATGATTGAACTTGTTTTATTTTCCTCTTGTACACTACTGTTACATATCTATAATTTTATTTTATGTATTCAGTGCAGGGTGTACAAGGTCCCACTACACAGATCGGACTCGTAGTGAGCCTCCTGTTTTCAGCCTCCCAAGCGCTGGGATTACAGGCGCGTGCTGCCACGCCCAGTCTCAATCGTGCTGTCAGTGTGCCCTGGGGGGTGGGCAGCGTGGCCTTCTGAAGATCAAACCCCAGCCCCTGCACTCCGCCTAAGCAGGTGCTTTCGTCTGCTGAGCTATTTGGCCAGCCCATATCTATGATTTTTATATATACTTTTGAGAGATTAAAATCAGTCAAATAAACCACCATGCTTTTAGAAAAAAATTTTGATTAAATAAAAGGGCAGGGTAAAGCTGATCTGGATTGATCAATACTATATACTTCATTCCCCTATTAAAACAATAAAACTGTTTTATTGAAATTTTGTTATCTGTGAATATTTAATCCTTATTTTTATAGACTATCACATTTTAAGGACAACTGACCCCCAGCAGACTGAGTGAGTGGGCTGTCTCTTGTATTCTGTATTTTAACTTCACCTTTATTCTGAGGGCTTGAAGTGTTCTCCTATTAACTCATTTATCTTGATTCTCCTGTGAAGAATAATAAAAAATCATAAAAAAGATCCTTTAGTGGAATAAAAAGATTAATCATAGATTGGTTTTCTATAGATATAATGAGTCTTACCTCTGCTTTTTGTAAATGAAAATACTTCATTTTTTAAAATTCTGTAAAATTTTTCAAAAAAATTATTCTTTCACACTTACATGCAAAGCCCAGCTTTCAAACAGTGCTTGTTTTAACGTCTGTGCCTCCCTCAGGAACCAAGGAGCACAGGCAGGAAGAGCTGCGGCAGTCTAAGGAGACAGCACCTGCCAACATACGGGAGCAGGAGCAGCAGGGAGGACAAGGAGGGAAGAGGAGCTTCCCAGCAGCGACAGATCCGGGAGACATAGCTAGGTAGAGAGGGAAAGGTCAAGGTGATGTCATGCTGACAAACTGACAAGAAACGCTGGAAAGAGAGCGTGGCTGGAAAAAGACAATGGCAAGAGGCCCCACAGACGCCAGAACACTCAGTTCTGGGTAGAGACGGAGACTGGGCATACAGGTCTGGGCTCTCTCAAGGCACAAACAGTTGAAAAAAATTGCAAGAAAACTTCAAATAAAGAAGATGAGCAAAGACAAAGGAAAAAAAAAAATTAGAAGATGCAGCAATGAAGGGATGGACAGGTAGGGAGTGGAGTCAGGAGCCCAGGGTTAGGACAGCCTGCAGGGAGGAGTCAGTGCAGAGCCTGCCGGGGGGGGGCTTGGGGACTCTGCTGCTACGAAGCCCTTAATTACCCTGGAGGCTGGTGACCACTGGCCTGGCACGGATGAGGCCTGGATTCTATGCTGAAATATCAAATGTGGTAATAATCATTAGTCATTAACCTGCTCTAACAGCTAACAGTATCAGAATAAATTGCACAATGATTTGATAGCATTCTTCAAGCCAAAACTGGTCAGAAGAAGCAAAGAGAGTCACTTTGTACTGTCTAAGGGAACAATTCAACAAGAGTTAACTAAAAACATAGATGCACCAAACACTGCCACATCCAACCTCATAAAACAAACCTAAAGAATCACATAAACATCAACATAATTACAGTGGGGATCTAATATTCCACTGTTACAAATAGATTAGCTAGACAAAAAAATCAAAGAAGTATCAGATTTGAACCACACATCCCAACAAGTAGACTTATTAGATACCTAAAATGTTCTACCCAAC